TTTCGGAAACCCCCATATAGGGGCTTAAATGATTACCAATACTGTTTTGGGGTTCCTTAATATAATTATAGTATACTGGGCCCCGAAACCCTATTCTAATTATTAAGGCCCCTATATTAGTAAACACGGAATGTGCCTGGGATTCGGGAAATTCGGGGGTGTTCTACTTGTGAACGGTTCTGGGCAGTGTGGGTGGGGAAGGGGAGAGCCTGTGTCGCGGGAAGTGGCCCGAAATCTTAGACTACTATAGAAGCCTCAAGAACTACCGATATCGTTCCTTAGCTAGGGCTCCTTATTATAGTTATACGCATCAGGTACCCCCCAAAAACCCTATTGCAACTATTAACCCCGCACGAAGCATCGTGCCCTGATTCTGATTAAGAGGACGGGGAACTCGAGGGTGTCCTGTGGCAACCTCTGACTCTGATTGCTTTGGCCGGAAAGATCCACTGATTAGAATAGTATAGGGGCCTTAATAATTAGAATAGGGTTTCGGGGCCCATTCTACCATAGTTAGATTAAGGAACTCCCCACATAGTATTGGTACTTCTTTAGGCCCCTACCCTACATTAGGCTTTGGTTGTGCATAAGGATATAAATATCTGTTTTAGCAATTAACTATTCAAATCCGTGTTGAAGCTGCACCGATATGCTGGAGCTTGTGGAGAATCATCTGCAGCCTGAAACCTACCCCCAAACAGCTTGGAATGACATATAATGCTCTGTAAACCAGATAGCGACCTTGTGCATCACGTAAACCATCTTAAGGCCTGTACGTGACCATATAAAGCCGCGAGTTCTATACGCCCCGTGTTCATCTCCTGCGTGAATCCTGTCAAGCGCCGGTTCAAACGCATTACACCGATTTACATGGTATAGCACTCTGCAACATGATGATCATAGAAGTTTCAAAAAACATAGAACCATTGTGAAGCCCTTGTAACCCAGAGAGCCCAATACCCTTTAATGAAGGAATATGCCTTCAATCATAATAATAAGGCCCCTATAGTTTAAGGTATATTCCTTAGTTAGCCAAGTAAAAGGCAGAGACATAAGCAGATCCGGCTCCAGGCAGAATTGGTTATGCAGGTGATTTTTCGAGGCCCTCCGGAAGGGAGGGGGGAGGGGGCGGGTTGCAGAAGGAGCCTGGAGCTTTTAGGCTTTAAGACCTGGTAAGAGTTTCCCCTAAACCCTAAACCCTAAACCCTAAACCCTAAACCCTAAACCCTAACCGACATTGTGTTGGGTGATACTGTGTTGACGTGTTTTGGGTTGCCGGGTTGTTGATCGAGTAGTGTGGAGATTCGGCTTTGTGTGTGTGTGAGAGTCTGTTTATGGATGTGTGCATGTGGGTGGTTGTCAAAATTATGGTCCCTTGTTGGGTCCTTATTATAATACGGCACCTATTATTTAGGGTACCCCCAAAGGGACTATAATTTTGACAACTACCCATGTATGTATGCATGCATGTATGCACGCATTCATGTATGTGTGTACACAAAGCTCGCAACCTGCAGCTACAACTCCGACGTCGAATTCAGTTTGCAACGCCCGCAGACGGTGCAGGTGGTTTGCTATATAGGCGCCTTTTTATTACCCATACTATTCTGGCAGGTTCTTATTATAAGATTTAAAATTATAGTACAAGATCCCCGAAAACTCGATTCTAGTTATGAAGGCCCCTACATTAGGTTTGGGGTTTGGACTTCCTGGTTTCAATGTTGGAAGTAGGTCCAAATAGCATGGATGAATGGGTATGGCATCAGGATACTGAGTGGGTTTCGGACTTGTGCTGCCACTATACAGCTCGTTGAGCCTGAACCTGCTACCCTAAATCCCCAGGCCCCTAAACCCTGCCTGCAGACCGGGAAACCTGGATATTGGGACAGTTTTTTCAGATTTCCTTTAAATACACATACGCTCATATGTACATATATATATATATATATATGGTATATGCTCTCTCTCTCTCTGCATATATATATATATATATATTCTATATATATATATACAGAGATATCTATATATATATATATTTGTACATATGTGCAGGTAGGCTTTGGGGGTGAGGGGTTCGGGCTTAAGTCCCCAGCCACCAGCCCAACACCCGAACTTCCAAACCTGAAACTTCCGCCAGCAGCCGACAAAGAACCCGGTCAGAACTGTCAGGTAGTTGTAGACGGTTTAGGGTTTAGGGTTTAGGGTTAGGGATATTCAACCTATGAAGACCTGTACACTCAAAATTGCGTCATGCACAGGTTGTCACATTCTGAGTCACTGGCTGGTAGCGATCGATGCAATGATCATCGGCTGCGGCTACGCACCCTGCCATGTAGAATGCTCCTTTTGCTCTAGAAGTGTGTACGTACCCACTCTGGGTTTTGAGGATTGCTCCAAAGTTTAATAGGGTCTTCTGGAACTTTTGCAGTTGCAACGTGGCTTGTTCATGGGGTTTAGCGCGCAGGGTTTAGGGGTTAAGGGCTTAAGGGTCTATGGGTTTAAGTCTAAGGCTTCGAGACTCAAGTTGCATCCTAAACCCTGAAAGCCTAGACCGCACACCCTGGGTCTTGGGGCTTTTGATTTTTTTTGCACTGCAGGATATTCATAAGGTTTTACATCTCTTCAATATTAATATAGTGGGATAATTTTAGTAGTATTAGTATATTTTACTTTGATTAGTATAGTAATGTAATTCTATTCCTAGTCTATGATTGTTAGTATAGTATTACTGTTGTTATTAGTATAATATGGTTATGTGCGAAGAGGGTGGGTTTCGGGCTTCGATGTTGTCATGTTCTCAGGCCCTAAACTCTAAAACCGTAAAACCCTAAACCCTAAACCCCTAAACCCTAAACCCTAAACCCCTAAACCCTAAACCCTAAACCCTAAACCCCTAAACCCTAAAAGCAATTCAGGGCCTCGGTACCTTGCAGGGCTCAGGGTGCTGTACCGTGGCTCGAGCCCACAACCGTAAGCTCTCAAACAGGGTTTAGGGTTTTTGGGTTTAGGGTTTAGGGTTCAGGGTTTAGGGTTTAGGGATTAGGGTTTAGGGTTTATACTTTCGCAAAGCCTCCCCACCTGTAGCTTCCTAAACCCTAAACCCTACAACCCTAAAACACTAAACCCTAAACCCCTATATTCCCTAAAGTCCCCACCTGGAGTTTCCTTTAAAGGAGCCCTTGTGGTACCCCGCAGAGCTCCTTCCAGCAAGGCAGAGCTGGTTCTGAACGCCCTCCTGACGAGTGAGACGCTGCAGACGATCAGTTCCTTGGGCTTTGTTCCCTAAGCCCTGGGTTTAGGGTTTAGGGTTTAGGGTCCCTGGCGTTCCGTTCCGGAGAGGGACTTCAGTGCTGACGGAAGAAGGCGCTCAACAAAAACAAACTAAACCCTAAACCCATCTTGTCTCTTTGGGTCTCTTTCTAAAGGATCCGGTATTTAGTAAGTAGGGGTACGCAAGAAGAAATAAGGCCGCCGTAGTTGGTAGGTATGCTTATTTGTTTTTGCAGGGTTTCAGGGCTCACTAAAGGATCAGAGGATTTTGGAAGCAGAGTTATAGATAAGGTAACTCTAGCTAGTAGTACACTTCTGACCTTAGATACGATACTCATAGCCTCACTTACTGAGTCCCCTGATCCTGCAAGTGTGTTCTGGCTCTTTGGAGTTTCAGGTTAGCGTTTTGGAGTTTTGGTTTGACCTTATGTGGTAGTCGTCGTATGAGTAGTAGTGTTAGTGGTAGTCGGCGTCGTCGTCGTAGAAGTAGTAGTAGTAGTAGTAGTAGTAGTAGTAGTAGTAGCAGTAGTAGTAACAGCAGTAGTCGTAGTAGTAGCAGTAGTAGTAGTAGTAGTAGCAGTAGTAGTAGTAGTAGTAGTAGTAGTAGTAGTAGAGTAGCCATAACAAGAGTAGGCGTAATCAATGCCCGAGGCTTCTTCAGCATGCTCCGCGTGCTGCGACTGGCCCGAATTCTGCGGCTGGTCCGGCTGCTGCGCAAGGCACCGCGCTTGCGGGAGCTGCAGCGGCTCGGATCTGCAGGTTAACTGGGGTTTAGGGCTTAGGGTTTAGGCTTTGGTGCTTCAGGGTTTCTAGGATTCCTAAACCCACCCTATACCCTAAACCCTAAACCCTCAACTTATTAGGAAGTATCCCAGGCTTTCATTGAAACCCTAAACCTTAAACCCGAAACCCTAAACCCTAAACCCTGAACCTAAGCCTCCATCCTCAAGGAAGCTAGTCACCATGATGGCGACCTGCTTGAAAGCACTGGTGTGGTCCTTCGTCTTCTGCTTCGTGATCATGACCGTCTGGGAATCTCGGCTCTCCCCCAATTCTAGAGGGTTTGGGACTCAATGTAATTAAGGGTTAGAGTGGGATTTCTTTCTAGGGGTCTAGCAGGGGAAGGCACTATTCGGGGGGGTTGTGGGTTACAAGAGGGGGTTTGAGCCAGCTCAACAAGGCCATAAAGGTCATAAAGCCGACCGCTTTCCACTACAGTTTGAATTGACATCAGCCCCGGCAAAAGTCCTGGCCCCTGCACCAAGCACGCTAAAACCTCCATAAACCCTCTCAACAGCTTATAAATGCCCTGTTCTGGTTTCCAAGGCCACCATGTTATGTTGCACCTGATACAAGAAAAAGGATCAGAATAGACAGCAATATTTTTCTACTCTAATGTACCCCCCCAAACTTTTTTAAATCATGAATCGTTGAGGCCGCTATGCCCGTCCGTTCCTGCCCTCCGCTTCGAAGTGAGGCTTTCATAAAACAAACCCTCTTCAGAGCCCCTAGAACCCTTCAAGAAGCCCTTGAAAGAAGCCCTAAACCCCCAGCTCTGGCAAAGCCCCTGCCACAAAACCCCGAAGTGCCGATCGTAACCCTTGTAGATCCCTTTGCAGTACTTGTAACGATTATTATAGTAACCCGTTGAAATTCCCTTCCAGCAATTGTCGGTAGCCTTTATTTGAGTAACCTTCCGAGATCCCTTCACAGTACCTATTGCTACATATTATTATAGCAACCCTTTGAGATCCCTTATAGCCCCTTTATATAAACCCTCATAAAACCCTTATAGAGCCTTATTGGAAACCTTCTAGACCCCCCCCCCCCCCCCATGCACCCCCTTTACGAGGCCATGCTCCTCTTGGAGATCGTGGGCTATCTGATCCCCCTAAACCTGAAACCGTCTACCCTAAGCCCCTAAACTCCTGAACCATCTACCCTAAACCCCTAAACTGTCTACCCCAAGCCACTGAAGCCTTAAAGCGTCTACCCTAAACTCTTGAACCCGTCAACCGTCTACCCTAAGCCTCTAAACCCCTCAACCGTCTACCCTAAGCCCCTAAATCCCTAACCCGTCTACCCTAAGCCCCTAAACTCCTAAACCCTCTACCCTAAGAGGCCATGCTCCTCGTGGAGATCGTGGGGCCTCTGATCCAGACGCTCATGGAAGACCCCGAGCACGAGCTCTGGGATCGCTGCGGGGAGGACTTTGGGCTTTTATGCTTTGAGGGGTGTGGGTTTAGGGTTTGGGGTTCAGGGTTTAGGATTTAGGGTTTGGGGTTTAGGGTTGAGGGTTTAGGGTTGAGGGTTTAGGGTTGAGGGTTTCGGGTTTAGGGTTTCAGGCTTAGGGTCTAGGGTTGAGGGTTTAGGGTTTAGGGTTTGGGTTTTGGGGGCCTTAAACAAAGGGTTCTTAAGATGTTTCTGGGGGTTTTAGGATTTCTAGGGATATTTGGATGTGCGTGGTGGGCACGGGTTCCGCAAGGTGATGACGAAGTGTGTTCAGAGGGTCTACTGTAGAGTTTAGGGTGTAGGATGAGGGTTGATACTAGCGCGGTATGGTGCTATCCTAATGTGTAGAAGGGTTGTTTGGGGTTATCCTAGGGGAGCTATACCCTAAACCCTAAACCCTAAACCCTAAACCCTAAACCCTAAACCCTAAACCCTAATCCCTATAGGTTTTGAATGGGTTTCATAGCATCGACGAACTTTGGGAGCGAGAGTTCCGGGGTGTCCAGGGGTGTAGGGATTGGGTCTCAGAGATGGCGCAGGGAACCCAGCGTGAGGTCAGGATTTAGGGTTTAAGTTTCGGGGGTATATCCCTGAACCCTAAACCCCTAAACCCATAATCTTATCCATAATCCCTAAACCCTAAAACCCTAAACCCCTCATGCCTAAACCCTAAACCCTAAAACCGAAACCGACATCCCAGAGCGTGCCAGGGCGTCGTTGGTTTTGTAGAAGAGTTTGAACGCGACTCGCCTATATCCTGATCCCCAAACTGGCTCTAGATCCGCAAAGGGTTTGGGTTTAGGGTTCAGGGTTTAGGGTTTAGGGACTCGCAAGGAGTGCAAACTCTTGACGACCTCCGTTATGCGGGCAAATGTCCTGCTTTTCAAGACGGTCATTGCAGGGGACAGCCGCTTGTACTGTCGGTTTTCGAGCCAGGGTAGGGTCAAGGGGTCCAGGGTACTGCACGGTTTTGGTTCAGCATACTATTCCCTAAACCCTAAACCCTACCCCTAAACCCTAAACCCTAAGCCCCCTAAACCACAAACCCCAACCTAAGGTTGCTAAGGTGTTAAGGGTTTCGGAACTTGACTGGGGCCGCAAAGGTTGGCAGTTTTTTTGAATGAAGAGGTACCTGATTTCGGGTTCCTTATAATAAGGATCCTACTACTCAGGGTGCTATATTAGGGTCCTATATTTTTCGGAATGAAGTTCAACACAGCAGTGCCAAAGATCGGGAAACATTACGCAATAGCGCAACAAGTGTTACCCAGACGCCGTTTTGCTAACTTGAGTCTGCTAAGTTGTGTCTCCATCACCGGCGCTGTAGGACGACGGATAGAGGTTAGAACACAGTCAATTTACATCATGCTTGTCTCACTCCTTGGCCTATACAACCAGAAGCAGGAGTTGAGAAGTGGCGAGAAACCTTAATAAACCCTAAGCAGAACCTAGACCCCGCAACTCGCCCCTGGTGCACACCCCTAAACCCTAAACCACCGACGAGTGCCTGGGTGGTGGTTCTCAAATCTTAGGGGGTCAGCCATCGTCAAGGTTCGCATGCTCCGGAACTGGATTGGGAGTTTCCGAAAGTAAGGGGTACCTTACTTCGGGTTCCTTATAATCAGGATCCCACTGTTAAGGGTACTATATTAGGGTCCCCTATTTTCGGAACCCCCCCCCCCAGATTGCGAGGGGGGAACACCTTGCTGAACCCTCAAAGCCTCAAAAACCTCCAGAACCCTCAGCCCGATAAGCCGACAAACTCCCAAAACTACGGGAAGAAAGGCCTCGTATAGGGGCCTAAATAATTGCCAATACTATTGTGATGATTCCTTATTATAATTATAGTATAATGGGTCNNTATTCTAATTAAGGCCCCTACACTACGTCACTACGTGATGGGGTACAGGATTTTTCCTCCTGCCTAAGGCAGTGGGGAAAGCGTCGAGATTATCCACCCGAAAGCATTCAACCCCTAATTCCCTCAGCCCTAGAACACAAATTTCTGAGCGTCCTTGACCCTGTCCCGTTAAACTGTTGCAAAATGAGGCCGTCAACTGCGTCAACATCCACACCCTACAGATGGCAAAGTGACCCAAAACCCAAAACGCTAGGTGCAAAACGACGTTCACCGCCGACAGGGCTGGGGAGTAATCGCCGTCCCCAGACCCTAAGCCCTATACACCCCAAACCTCCCTAAGCACTAAACCACATTATGAGACTGGGAATTGGTCTCCTTGCGACCATGGAGTACACAACCCTCCTAGAGACCCTATAGAACAAAGCCTCCAAGGATCCCTTTAAGGGAGCCCTTTCAAACCTAATCCCTAAACCCTAAAC